GCGTGGACGACAAGGGGGTAGATAGCTCCTCCCTTGTGTTCTAATTTCTTAAAGTTAGGCTTTCATTGGGTATTCTATGTGGCTGGGGGTGGACCTCTTGCGTCTTATCGCTGTGTATTTACTCATATGACCATCTCCCGTGGCCTAGTTAGCGGAGCGTCTTGCATACGGTATTACGCATGAATGCTGATTATCGCATTCTTAACCTCATTGCGTGTCCATGTGTTGTCATCTTTGCTCTTTCACTGCAAAACACTTTTCGCAAGTCTCCAGGCACCTAGGTAATGACTTAAATTTTCAATCCCAAATTTGATCCTCAACAATAATAATCATAAAATAATCATAAAATAAAAATATTTCAGTTTTGAAAAAAAAAATCATAAAATAATCATAAAATAAAAATATTTCAGTTTTGAAAAAAAAAAAAGGTGACAAATTTATTTTGAAGCGTTCCTCATAATCAGTCAATGTCACCCCATCAAGATAGATAAGATTTACCACTTAGGGCACTGAAAGTTTCTGTGGTGAAATGCAGTGAATCGCCATCCAGTTGGAAGTTAAATGGCACATCAGTTTCATGTTCAACTGTCAACTTCTGGATGACATATATTTGCAACATACCCAGAAGTATGTGAATAGTATTTATTTTCTCTGAGAAAAAGGTCCAATGTTGTGATCATGTAATAAAGTGCACCATATATTCACTATGAAAATGTCACACAGTTTCCACCATGACCTGGCAATTCTTCAACCCTCAGATTCTGGAACTGGTATGATTTACCTGACCATGACAGTGAAAAATTATTTCATCAGCAAAATATAACTGTCTTCAAGAAATTCAATACATTATCAATTTTTCTGAGTAAGAGTTAAGCAAGGCCACGTCACAGCTCAAGCAGTTAGTTGCTAGCTTCCCACCGTGGTGGCCCGGGTTCAATCCCGGGTCTGTTCAAGTGGGATTTGTGGTGGACAAAGTGGCGCTCGGGTGAGTTTTCTCCAAGGACTTTGGTTTCCCCTGCCAATCTTCATTCCACCAAATTCTCCATCATCATAATCACCCAGGGCAGGCTACAATAGGCCAATCAGTGGCCACCGTGCCGTGTGGACCCAGCTGGACTCCACCCCCCACTAAGCGAATTAAAGAAGGAAAAAATAAGAAGAAAAAAAGATTTAAGCACAGTTCACGCCCTCAAACTTTTCTGTACATTTCATGCGTAATCCGAATCCTCTAAGAATGCAACCCCACATAAATGAAATGTGAACTCAACAAATGAGCATGCATGAATCACAGTAAAATATACTCTACAAAATTCATATGTACCCTTTCTATTCATCTTCACACCCATTTGCACATTCTCTGGTCTAGAAAACTGAGATTAATGGCCATGGGAATCTGTTGCACTGACCATGCGACAAAGTTGGCACTAACTTCACCAACAAGCGGCGGTCGCTCATTCAGTATAGTTTGCTTGCAGACTACAGGCCATGGAGTTCATATTGTCCATTAAATCACAGATATACACACAATTCTATTTTTATCATAAATACTGCAATCTTAATATAACAGAAATATCAACAAGGTACCACACCACTATAACAAGAGGAACTTGTTACGAAATTCAGACATGTAAAATTGATGTGAATTAAAAGTGATGTAAAACAAGTGAATATAACATCTTACTGTACTATGACCACATAACCGGTTATCTAATGTACCTGACTGTATACTATACAATGAAATATACCTGATTAAGGTGTTGACCTTGGCCACATCAATATCATACAGTTTCTTCACTGCTGCTCGAATATGGTGTTTATTGGCACGGGTATGCACAATAAATACCAATGTATTATTGTCTTCAATTTTTTTCATTGCAGCTTCTGTCGTCAATGGGAACTTGATGATATTGCATGCATCCATACTGAAAGATGAAGAAATGGTCACAACTCATTTCAAAACAAATTATTCAATTACACCAAAATACTAATCCAACCTTGGCCAAATTAACCTTCTGGTAATGAAACTAATAGTTCAGAACCACTAAGAGAAGTCTGGCAGAAGCCTGAATAATACAATTCAAACTGACACAACCTCCTTTCCTGAGACCTATTTTACTCCCAAGAATAGTCTTGATACAAGTAGCATGTTAAAAATATTTATTTACTTCAGCTATTACCAGAGGAGCCCTGATATAAAATTTATCAAGCTGCAAAGAAAAGTAGTACAAATAAATTTATACACGGCTTTAACATGTCATTTGCCACAGACAGCCATGAAAATCCATTATTCTCATTCTGCTAGTTTGTCAAGAACCATTGACAAAGAATTCATGAAAACTATTTTTAAAACACAAGCCATAAAATGAAGATAAGTACAGTTCTCTTGCTTCACATGATCCTCTTGTTCATTTCTACAAGAAATTACTGTCCTAGTATCTTGTTCTCTTCCATGTTACATACTACAGTGGAATCCCCATTTAATGTTCTTAATTTTAAGGTTTCACGTTCAGTGCTAATGACATCAATTCAAGTATCTTGATGGTAAGTTTCCTCAGTTTAGCACTGATATGCATATTTCTCCAAAGAAATATTTAATGGGAGTATTGATGTACTTAAAAATTCTGTTTTTTTATGGTTACCTACCATAAGTGTGTCTATTAGTAAAAGTTCAGTAATCATACAACATGATTATGTGGAGGTACCACATGAAAACAAGTGTTTCTTGCTATTTCAAATTCTCCAGGAACTGGATATTCCAGTTCCATATGAATGGTCACCAATCACACATTACTGAAAGACTAATTGAATGCCATACAAAAAATATAGTTTTTTTGGACCAATGTTGAAATAAGGTCAAGGGAGCCGAGCGGTCTAAAGCATGCACTGTATTCACTCACTCGGAAGCTGGGATTGTGGGTTTGAATGCCACTCAGGGCATAGATGTTTAGTGTTTGTGTTTGTGTACAGGTAGAGGCCCTGTGATGAGATGATTACCCGCCCATGGAGTCCTACCGAATGTCTAAGATCTAGTAAACTGAAGTGAAACAGAGTGTTTCATAGAGGTAGGCCAAGGCCCAAATTGCAGCTGTAGTGACAGAGGGGAAAACAATGTTGAAATAAAGGAAGACGGATGAAGAACAATTACTAGCTGCAAGTTCTGCCAGAAATGCGTTATACATACAGGATGGGGCGCAGAAACTTCCATTTTGTGAAGACACATTGTGAAGGGAGGGGAGGTTGCAGGTAAGTGGGGATAGGCTCAGCGAACACAGCAGTTGCGGAAGTTTCTGCCTAATACCCCTCAGTAGGAAACATGAGGTGGATGAGTGAGCAGTGTGTTTGCTGTCAAATCCTGTTTTTCGAACAACCATTCCTATGTGGCGGTGCAGCGTGCGCTCCGTACTCACTTCGGAATTAAGCTCAGAGGTCCGGTTCCTGACTGTTTTGTGGGTAGAGAACTTTAGGACAACCGGGAGTGTGGTGAAAAAATCATCAGGACGACAACGGACTGTTACGATGCCAGAAAATGTGGAGGCAGTTCGACAGTCGATTTTGAGATCTCCAAGGCGCTCCGCTCGCAAACATGCAGTCGCCCTAGACAAATCCAGTCGTTCAATGCACCAAATACTTCACGAACATCTAAATTTCCATCCCTATAAGATGGCTGTTGTGCATGAATTGTCACCACGTGATTTCCAGAACCGAATAATGGCATGCGAAACATTATTGGAAACTTTAACCCTTCAAGCACCCGTTTTCTTTAGTGATGAGGCACATTTTCACCTATCCGGATATGTCAACAAGCAGAATATGTACTATTGGAGTGGTAACTGCTGTACAACGCATGCAGTAACAGGAGCAAAACACAACACAGAACATGATACACAAATGTATGTAGGAAGAATGCTCACATAAAAGAGGATTGGCATAATTCACGTGTTTGAGTGCGACATAGGATGAAACCTGAAAAGTTTTATTATTTAGAATTCATCGACATATATGACGAATACAGATTTTAGTCATCTTAGAATGAAGACATCATGGCATGCAGTACAATAGTTTAATGTGCATAAAGACAACTGAGGATGGCACATTAGTGCTGAAACATGTAGTGTGGAAGTGAAGAATAATGTGAAAGAGTGTATACGCTGTAAGATGGTTAGCATAAACCATGGACATGAATCAGTGTAACAGGATGCTAAAATATAACATTTTTAATATTTGTGGGATAAGTACATATGACTTCTACCTGGGCAAATAACAAAATTATTTCTCCAGTGGAAATATTAAAATGGTAGCACAATCTTTTAACATACTCTCAAGTGTAACCGCTCCACTGTCACTCACCAATTTAATAATTAGAATAATCAGTAATAAATATTAAGTGCAGGTAACAAGTAATACCAAAGCCAGTGGGACATAGTCACATTCTTGTTTTCAGGAATGGACTTATTCCAAGTCTTGATGTTACACAGGAAACACCCCCTGTGGCTTTTTCTGAGAAATTTTGCTTGTGAGTAGCACGGCGGCAAACTTTGAGAATTCGATCACTGACAGGTCCTGCACGTCGTAANAGTTGCCAAACAGTCGCAAGTGCCTCCTACTCGTATTTAATTCGGAACAAAATCTGTGTTTTTCGCTGTTCTGTATAACCAAATTCAGAGTGCTAAAGAAAGTGTAAATTGTAATAATAACGTCCGTTATACCAGGACTGTGCTAGACATGGACCTACATATAAGCATCCTTTGTATTGACTGTGTGTGCCATCAGGTGAAGGGAAGCGCTGATCGCAATAAATGGTCACAGTGTTTAAGTGTTAATTAGCATTGAACCAACTACTTCCCTCCCCGTCCTAAGCGAGGCCCTAGCAAATGCTCTGAGAAGGATCCCAGCTCTACCCACAGCTGAACTAGTTGACTATCACCTTTACCCCCTTTCCAAAATAAACCTCTGACTACTGTAAGCCGACACCACCTGAGCTTACTGGCGCCCAAACTAAGAAGAAGAAGAAGAAAGAAGGAGAGGAACGACGAACAATGCGTGACTAACCAATCAACAAGGGGGGGAGTGAAGGTGAGGTAAGGACGGTTAGAGAGAGAAGAGGTGGAGCCCAACGTAAGGGCTGGACGGTTACACAAGTTATGTTTCATCCTAAAAGCAAAAGACAAAGCTTCAACATATCATGCTAGAAACCAGCCACCACTCCTAAAAATTTAATCTTCAAAAACAACTTGAAAGTGGAACTTATTTAATAGTAACAAAAATACTTTTGCTTATTAATTATCATTAAAGATCTGTTACCACATACACTGGTAGAACAAGGATATTGAGAACTTCAGAATAAAATTTTAAATTAAAGAAATCTATAGGATGACCCAGAACAAGATGGCACAGCCAGCTACTGAAAACAATAGCTGGCATGAAATCAAAAAGGAAGCACGGTGAACAAGAAGAGACTACAGACTTTCATCTATTGTACAATCACAACTGCATACACTTTGGTGATTTCAGTCTGTCAACAATCATTATGGACCTAATGGACCCAGCATGTAAAGAAAAAAAAAAGTATGCCAAACTTACCGATTCCTTTTTGGAACAGATTTTCTTGGGTATTTTGGATGCCTTGGAGGCCGGAACGTCTTAGGTCGGTGGAAATGAACAGAAGTCCTCACCTTCCTAACACGTGTTCCATGTACACCCTTGGTAGCCTACAGAATGGGAACAAAATATACTCTGCCTTTTCTAGTAGTGATGACAAACAATTTTCACACTTAAAATAGGGTCAAAAATGTCAGAAATGTGTTTCACTTGTTTTCAACGATGTTTCAAAGAGATTCCCACACCTATTCATCATTCAGTAATTCCTGAATAGTAAAGCTATAAAATACATAGCTTACATGTACAAACTTGCCTTTTTCTGAGCCTTGAGTGCCTTTTGCAGTGCTGGTTTAACAACTTTTCCGCCCTTCTGTGACTTTGGAGCAACATCTCTCTTTGGTTTCTCAACCTTTTTCACCGTTCCTTTCACGGGAGCCTTTCCTGCAGGCTTTGCACCAGGTTTTGCTGCAGGTTTAGCTCCAGCCTTTGCAGCAGCTTTGGGTGCAGGTTTCCCTGCAGACTTCGCAGGTTTTGCTGCTGATTTGGCAGCAGCAGGCTTGGCGGCAGCAGGCTTGGTGGCAGCAGGCTTGGTGGCGGCAGCAGCAGGCTTGGTGGTGGCAGCAGCAGGTTTAGCGGCAGCAGCAGCAGCAGGCTTTGTAGCAGTGGGTTTGGCTGCAGCAGGAGATTTTGCTGCAGTGGGTTTGGCTGCAGCAGGGGACTTGGCCGCAGTGGGTTTGGCTGCAGCAGGTTTGGCAGCTGCTGCTTTTTGTGCTGTTGGTGGCTTAGCTGCAGCAGGCTTTGCAGCCTTCGCAGTGGAAGAAGTTGATGCTGAAGCAGCTGCTGGTGCTGCAGCTGGTTTCTTCTCTGTCTTTTTCTCTGGTTTCTTCTCTGTCTTCTTCTCTGCAGGCTTACCTGCCAGACAATAAATTTAAATAAGTACCAATACAAAATTACATGCACCAAAATTACTCATTACCATGTTACTGTATGTCTATGGGTTATTTACTGACTAGCTCAGACTACTGCACTGTGCATTTCCAGCTCAGAGTGTTCTACTTTATGAAACGACCTCTGATGCCTTCCTTGAGACACCATGCTCTCCTTACCCCATTTTGATGTTTCCTGCCAATCTACTTCCTTTACATGCTAACTGGGTTTGCAAGCACAGAGAAGAATGATAATGCATTTGTTACTTGGCTTGAGAAGCCCCTCTTTTATCTGGTGACCACAGTGACCAATCAGGACTCCTGGGCAGACACACAAATATGTTGTGGATTGGGGCTGTGAGGTGAGTGGAGTGTAGTTCCAAATTGTGTCTAGGCATTTTGATTTTAAATTTTTCTCTTGGCCCTTTTTACTGTTCTCTCACCACTGCTAGACCCCTTGGTTTGTATTTTTTTATTCCTAACCCTTAGTCTGATTGTCTATTTTGATTTACTGATTTTAGCCCTGTTATCTGTTAGTTATGCATATGAACTGCAACCACACCAACAGCAATGGTAACTACAGAAAATCTACTGGCTCACTGTGCATGTTATCGCCTCATTGTTTGTATCTGGTTTATTTACTGCATACATACTGAGTTCTACTGCAAACATGTCACTGAGTTATTTTCTTGTCCCATAAACATTCTGTCACCCACCTTTCCTTGCTTTATTACAGCATCAAATGACACAATTAATGAATGATCTGGATAGGGAAGGAAGCAGGAATAGTTAATTGGCGGTACTATCCCAATCATCTGCCTGATGAAAACCACAAAAAACGTCAGTACAGCTAGTCTCAAGACTGAGATTTTAACCTGGGGCCTCCCAATTATCAAGGAGCACTGACTTGACTGCAATCCTCACTTGTGTTGCTATGTTATGTTGTGTTCTTAAGAGAGTGTGGAAGGTGTAGAATGATTTGTGCATAGACTGAAAGTCTCACTGGTATTTATCCACTTACTTCTCTCAAGATTCCAGTTCTTGGATTCTACACATTCTGCAACTGGTTATACTCTTCTGCTGCTGTGTTAGGAACTGAATATGCACCGTTAGCTTACAATCATAAACATGACTAAAAAGGGGAAAAATTGTTAACTGTGTTGTGCCACGACAATTGCGACACAAAAATTTCTTCTTATATCTTACCGCTACCACCAATTTGTTGTGCCCTGATATGGGTCAGTGACTGTACTCACCCTACAGGACGTTTGTATATAACTCTTAACCTGTGCTTTGGAAAACATGCTGCACTAGGGGGATCCACAATTAACTCGAGTTCTCAAAACAACAACAAAAGTAATATATAATATAACAAACCACCAGTACATCAAACAACCCGAGTTCTCAAAACAACAACAAAAGTAATATATAATATAACAAACCACCAGTACATCAAACAACCTATCAATTCATACACAAACTTCGACTATACCCGTTTTACACTTCCTACAATTTAACTGTCCATAATATGCTAAACCTAAATGATACAAACCAACACTTTGTATTTCTTTCTCAAAACACCAAAATTTATATCTTAACATTAAATGATGGCTTATGGCCAGACTTCAGAACAAATGTCAAATAATTTTCTGTCTACAATATTTCAAAGTAAATAATGTAATCAATGTCGCCAATGGGACTGCAATGAAACCTCCCACTGGTTCTGATAATACTTGCGCATACAGTTCATCCATTGCTACTTCTGTCACAGAGAAGTCTTTGTCATGAGAACCTATAATTTCAAATAATTTCTCTCTACAGTTCACTTGTACTAGTTTTTCTGTGACTACTCACAGAATTTGTAATTTTAAAACTCTAGTTTAAATCTGCACAATTTTTAACCCACTTCCAAGGACTAGCTTATACACCACTGGCAAACTGTCTCTGAATTCTTCTCAACAACCGATGGTCCAAAATTCTCTGACGTGTGAACACAAAAGCTGTTCAAATAACACCCACTATAAACATTAACCCTTCAAACAGCTGGAAATTGCGTTCTTCCAACCATGTCACTTTATCGCATCTTCTACTTACAACTTTCCCAGACAACTTGCAGGATAAGGTTTCTTTGAAATGTGCAGGAACACACGCACCAACACTTTTACTTGTAATTTAAAACTCAGTACAAGGATGACATGCTTCTACTATTTCAAACTTTTTGTACAACCAGCAATTATTCTCATTACTTGAATTCTTGTCCACTACTGCTACATGGTTTCTACCATTACCCGAAGTCCAGTTATTTTCCACAAAAAGAACCAGCAAATTCAATCCTCCTAGAAATGTGATAGCTAAGATCATTTGCCTTTTCGTGCAAGATTCTATCATTTTATATGTAACAATTGCATAAATGTTGACAAACAAAACATTCAAATGCACGAGCACTTTCAAATTTCTTTAAATCACCAAACTCACATGATTAGCATTATCTACCGCCTCAAACCAACATGCCAGTATAAATACAAATGGTTACCATCCAAACTTAATTACTAAACCAGATACTGGTATCTAAACCATCACTCAATAATTCAGAATTACTCTGTTACACTCCAAGGTTTATACACTAAAATAGTTTAACCAATTTTATCCTAAGAACCCATTAACCAACCAAAATCAATGAACCAGAATCATATATTGCCAACCATCAGTGATTCGAACACAGGCAAGTACTCATGCTCACAAAAGAGGAAGACATCCGACTCCATCGCGTCTCCTTCCTACCACGCGACTGTTCTGAGCAGCTCTTAAAGTCAGAGTGTTCGCGGCTCCTCCCATCCGAGCCCCTCAAAATTCAACATCACGGAAAGGTGCTCGCGCAAAAACCAATAAAGTCAGCAAACTGTGCGGTGGCGAGACTTGCCTCGTGTTGTCACTTAATTTGTCAGCAATTTCTATAGACTGTACAACACCGGATGGCTAAAGAATGTATGGCGTCTCAACTCTGGCTTCCCAGCAGGTTTCCAACTTGTGGTTCACCTGACGTATTTAAATTTATAAAACTTATAATTATTTTCTAATTAATAAAACATAAATTTGACCCCTTGTTAGGATAAAGCATACCCATTAATAACCTGGGGCACAACAACCTGAACTGGCAAAACATTTGGAATTTTGATATAAACAGAGAAAATGAGTGGAAAGAAGAGGCTAAAAGTGTTCATACACCAACAATATCCCCAAATCAAACTGTACACTTGTCAATTATCAACTGACAAAATGTTCCCTGCAAACAATCCATGACTTGGTAACCAGACACATAAAAAAATATACCGGAACTGACTCACTCTTTAACTTATATCATTATTTACAATACAGTTTTCCTCCAACTGTTATGTGAAACTCTTAACACTTCTGCAGATCTGATAATTTTTTTCCAGATGAATGAGGCTCTGCCACTCAGTAGAAATGTATAATGAACAATAATAACACACACAACTTGAAAAAAATTAAACTCCGCACCAATCTGCATAACATGTTTAGTAGATGTTAGGGGAGTGTCTGAGGGGAAGATACAGGCACCTATGTATTCTGAATTTTTATCAATTTGCGATTAAAGGATGTCTACAAATATTACATGCGAACATTATCCATGTGCATACGTAGTGAAGTGCTCATCCAGCATGCTATAATACGCGCGTCGATACAAACTAAATTTTACCATGAAGATCCTAGTTGCATCGAGACTCGCCGACGCACTGTTGTATAATTACTTTTTGGCAAAGTTTTCATCTTCATTAACCTTAACACCAGACATGCGGCGTTAAAAGATATGCGCAGACCTCGTGGCCGTAATGTTCGAACACTTCATTGTGACTTGATCTTATTAATAATCATTATTCACTCAAACTCAAATTAAACGGGGTCAAATTATTAATTTTAGTAGCTAATAAAGTAATAAAATAATTACAAACCTGCTTTATCACTAGGCTTAGGTTTAGGTGCCATCTTAACAAACCTCAAGGAACTTTACGAACACGACTCCGCCACCAGGCAATGAAAGATAGGCGCACACACGTCAGATACTGTGGGAGTTATAATTTGTTTAAAGTTAAGAAATTTGTACTTATAGTAATTCTTTTATTAATAAACTATTAAAATTTTTCTGTATTTTGGATTAAAAATTCTGTACTTTATCACATATTACATTTACTGCAAAACTTGACATGTGTGTAAAAAAGTACAAACATTGAACGGTATTGTACTACGGTATGTGATCTTTGGTATACCCTAACTCGTACATAATAACTGAAACCTATTCAACGATACTCTCTCCTTCATTCTTCTTATTCTTCATTCCCCGACACTATTTATCACAGATCATACTACAGTATTTATCGTGTACTTTGAAAATGGCTTATCCGACTATTTCTGTGAGTGCAAAAATACAGATCACCATAGATTACACACTTCGGCAGTTGCGTTATAAAAGAAGAATTTACGTGAGTAGTTTTGTGTACTTATGAAAATAAACGAGAAATTTTAGGATTATTTATTCAAACAGAGGTGGTTACGACAAATATGAGATTTAACCCCGTGTAGACCACAGAGCAACACTAACGAATTCGTGAAGAGCATAGGAAAGTAAACTGTGGTCATAGAGCATAGGAGTGATGTTTGTTTGAGTAATAATGAATATCGCCTTGTTTATGTTATCGACGTTTCGTTATGCCTAATGTGACATTAGGTATGTAGTGTGTGAAGAATTATTTATATTGAAACTAAGATTTGATATAACTTTAGGCTGCTCCACAGTTTCCTCTTCGTAAAGCTATGTGGTGGGCCACTATGCTACAAGCTGGAAGGTTGCGGGTTCGATTCCCGATGACGGCATTGGCTTTTTTTCCAGTCGCACTGTGGCCCTGGCGTCGACTCAGTCACTAACAAAAGTGAGTAAAAGGAATCAAACTGGGAGAGTGGGAGACTGCGGCCATCGTGTAAAGCTGACAGGCCCACCGTCAACTGTGAACCGATTGTCTAGAAAATATGGAAACCTTTGACGTCTCACAACCTCATGAGCCTCCACGGCCTGTTACAAGGATACCTTTATTGTTTTCTAATGCTACATGGTATTGCACCATAGTAATTTATATAGATTTCATAATTAAATACCAATTTCATTATTATACATTTATAATATTTCAAATGTTAACATACCAACATGCCGGTCACGGTAGCCGAGCGGTCTAAGGCATGTACTGTCTTCGCTCGCTTGGAAACCGGGATCGTGGGCATAGATGTTTAGTTTACGTGTGTGCGTTTTTCTGTGTTTGTGTACAGGTAGGGGCCTTGCGATGAGCTGATCACCCGCCCAAGGGGTCATACCGAATGTGTAAGGTCTAGAAAAACCGAAGTGAACGGAGAAGTTCATGGAGGTAGGCCTAGGCCCACTGGGGCTGTAGTGCCAAGGGAAGAAAAAAGAAACATACATATTGTATGTGTATATAAGACACACTTAAGCTTGTGCCGTTACTGCTTTTCTATGGGGAATTAAACGATTCTTTGTTAAAACTGAAAATTGAAAGTTTCTATGTTCCTAATTAACAAACAGTTGAAATATACAAACACATTGCTGTATTTCATATAGTAGAAGACCTGTGAGATAACATTTTAAAAATTAAGCTGTGTTTCTAGAATATTATGGTATTGAAATGCTTCTTTCATTTAGATCAATGCTAGAATCTCGCTCTGCAGTCTACAAGATGTTGAAGGACAAAGCTCATAAGGACAGACAAATAAACACATTCCCACGACCCTACCGACATGATGCAACACCATATAAACAGTTGGATTTCAGTAGAATAGTAAAAGAGGCGTGCTCTTCAGATCGTCCTCTCATGGCTGGATTGAAGATATCCAAAGCAATATTCCTGGGTGATGTTGCTGTTGGTAAAACATGTCTAGTCAATAGGTGATTATTAAATTAATTTGAAAAGTATATAACCAAGTAATGACAACATCAGAGTCATACTTAAAACTGTTGACATGTGATATTTTATTAAATGGCTGTTCTTGTATTCTAGCAAGATGGTAGGTGGCTGTTATACTAATAAGGACTGTCGTATTGTGACGTTAAACCAACCGGTATTAGCTAATCTGAGTTTTGCTACTATACAGTTTTGCAGCTTTCACAGCTTAATTTAATTTTCTGATGAAAACGAAGTGTTTTAGGTGGTTGTTTAGTGTTAGTGAAGTGTTACTCCATTTTTAAGAATGAAAGACTGAGGACAGAAGCATCCTATTTAACACAGACAAGTGAGAGACAGAGAATGGCAAGTCTGTGTACAGTGTTACAAAGTTGCAAGAACACACTGCTGGTGTGTGTAATATTGGGTTTAGAACAGTCAAATTCAAGTGTAAGCTCTTGTAACATAGCAGACTTGTAGCTGTCTCTTTCAACATGATAAGCCATTACTGACCTACTCTCTTGTTTCTCCTGATGGTGCTATGATGTAGCTGTCATAGCTTCTGTGTTTTTATAATGTCCATTATATATATACATGAAAACATATGGCATTTGTGTATTAAAAAATAAATTATGGTTGATACTGTAATTCCTTTGTTGCTTTTAAAAACCAAGATGTATTAAAATATATTTTATGCCCAAACTGCAATGAAGGTAGTTTACATTCTATATACACCAGCCATCAACGATTATTATGTTTTATGTAAAGAATAGGAATTTAGAATAATTTTCCACTAAGCTACTACTTTTCACTAGCCATGGATGAATAGGCAAGTATAATTATTCATGGAATGTAACAAGACTTACAAGGTACACAGGATATTAAAATTATGTCATTTACATATATGTATCTACCGTGCCCAGTACACTGGGTGGCCCTCAGTATAATGGCCAGACTTCAGGTCTGCAGGTCATTCAAAGCAAAAACAATAATTTGATTCATCACCGATATCAAGTTAAGACCTAATGTAGTGTAATATGCCATGATCACTATAATGCTTTTATTGTCAGTCTGGTTGTTGTATTTGATTGGTGCTGTTGTCTTTCATTGGTCAGAAGCATTTCTTAAATACCTTTCACATTTAAACACGAAGTACTTGCCATATGCATATTCATTCATTCATCTGTAATCTGTCAAGACGACAGGTCCACAGTCTCTTCCAAAACAGTTCCTCCACTTGATGCGATCTAGAGCTTTCTCCTTCAAATGAAAATATCCTCTTCTGTCCCCAAGGTCATCCAGCATCTTCTTATGTCTTCTTCCTTGTCTTCTGGTCACTTTTAGTGGAAAATGTAGGGCTGCTGTTGCAGATTGTTGGTGCACTTTACAAATTGAAGATTTTTGCATCAAAACATATAACTTGACAAAAATTCACTTATTGAAGCAGATAATACTTTGGTTCTAAACCTTTAATATGGTGATGAAGAAAGTTAAAAGGAAAAGTGGTTTTATATTCACTGCTACACTACGCTATAGCTTAACTTGATAATGGTGATGAAATGAGCAATTGTTTATAGGACAATTTTTGTTTCAGATGACTGTAGAGTATGCTCCCAATGTTTGGCCATTGTGTTGTGGGTTACCCCTATTTGAAAATTCTCAGAAATCTTTTTATGTTGGCTGTTTAATGATGCTGTCAGTATTGACATTGGTTACCATCAATAATAGAATGATTAATGAATGTGGAACAGTTGGAGGAATGAGGATTGGCAGGGAAATCAACATACTTAGAGAAAAGTCCCATTTCATCCACCATAAATCCCACATGATATGACCTGTGATTGAACCCAGGCTGGCTGGAATAGTCTGGGTGCAGAAGCTACCAAAAGTTCATGCTGTCATCATGTCTGTTTTTTTTTAAAGAATATTATCGTTTGCTATCTATGACTATACCATATTTCTTATACTTTACCAAAGAAGGGAGGAATCATCATCATGGGTGCCATACCAAAAAAAGCAAAAAACCCTGACAACAGCTGCAGATATTTTTTAAGGATTTGTCATCCTACAAAATGTCAGAACTGTCTATTAAATGATACTAATGTTGTTTGTATCACAGATGATTGTATGGTTGCCAGGTTGCTCTTGTTTAATATACTGGAAAAATAACTATGGATGTAGGGTGTCCTCCATAACTTCCAATGGCCTTACATTTAGGTTCACATGTAAATTTAGAGATTGAATGAAGATTAATAATGGGGGGCTAGTAAACCCACACAGTCATGGTAATAAGTAAAGTCAGACCATCCATACAAAATAAGAAAATGCTTTCCTATTGCAGATTCTGCCACCAGGTATTTGACAGTAACTACAAAGCAACGATTGGGGTGGATTTTGAAGTGGAGAGGTTTGATGTACTTCAGGTACCTTTTAATTTGCAAATGTGAGTGGCCTGAATATATACATTTGATGAACATAATTCTTGAAATTGTTATATCTGCATTTGTGATGTGGCAGAGAGGATTTTAAAGTATTTTTATAATCACCGAATTTTGAGAAACATTGTACTAGAGCATTAATTGTCTAAACCAACTGTGGAAGGTAAATAAATAAATACATTGTTCTAAAGTGTAAATTTATTTTAACAGCTGAGTAATACATATCTGTAAGCAGCCTCCGTAGTCTAGGGGTAACGTTCCTACCTCGTGACTCAAGGTACGCGGGTTCAAACCCCGCAGAGGTCGTGGAATTTTTAAGGGCGGAAAAATTCAGGGAACAAGTCCTCCGGGAGGGACTTTAAGCCGTGGGTCCCGTGTCATAGCTTTATGGCACATAAAAGAACCTCATGTCCCAAGGGGACCACTGAGCCAAATTCAGGACATTTCCCGCCCAACAGTAGTCTCTAACGCCTCTGGTAGATGGGGGAAGCATCTGGATACCGCTGAGCCAGTAGAGGCCGAACTCGTTGGCTGAGTCGGGACTGATGGCATGCACCAGTACCGGTAGGGAATAGAGACTGGTAGAATATCATAGGGGGACGCACAATGGACCAACAGTTGGTCTAAGTGCATGGGGAAACCCACCCTCTCCAATACAATACAATACACATCTGTAATAAGAGTTTGTGAAATTAGGGGGCTCAGAGAATCTTCATTGTAAGACTAAATCACCCTTTTGATGGAAGAGTTATGAAATATTGCTTATAGAAATCTGAAACTATAAGCCAGTGGATCTTCATTAATTCTTCTGTTGACTGCTGGTAAAGAGAATGCTTCACTTTTGTATTTCAGGAATCTAGTTTAGAAATTGTACCTATGTATTAGTATGATTTCATGTAATGATATTAACACATCAGTGATTATGATCTGATTTCTTCAGATTTCTTTTGTTAGTATGAAAGGATAGTTTATTGACACACTCTGGAAAAAACTTCGTCCACTTTCCTTCAAATACTTCTCCCATAATTGAGAGCCCCCGGACTTCTAAGATAAAAATTACATTATGTAACATTGTAATTGATCTTTATGCCACATTTCTGTTCTTCTCAGTTTCCTCATAAAATGCCAGAAAGATGCCAAATACAAGGCCAGATATTTGAAAATTTCAAAACAAATATATATTGGATACAAATTTTTTAGTTATAACCTATTATGAAACTGAATTTAATATCCTCCTCTTTTTTGTAATTCTTTTCCTTTTGGAGCCATGATTGCTTAGCCAGTATAATTACTAAGGTACAGACTAGATGACCAAGACATTGAGGTTTGATTCTCAGCTGAGGAAAGGGATTTTTCTTAGTGTCCAGACTGGCTTTGGGGCCCACCTAGCCTCCTATCCAATGGATACAGCGAACTTTTTCCCCATAGATAAAGCAGCAAGGGGCATGGAGATAACCATTCACCTCCATCTAATGCCATAGTTAAGAATGGTAGAGCTTAACCTTCACTCATACATTTTTATGGCATAATGCTTAATTAGATAAGCATGGGGAGGTATCTTTAATTTTACCTTATCTTTTCCCCCTAATGTCAACCATCCTGATATGTTCTGCTAATGAGTGCAACAGATATAAGTTTTTGAAAGATGTATTAATTGTACTCCATCCAAAACATTTTTAGAGTGCATTATTGTCAGCATCAACATTATTTACAGATGTAAATATGTCTGTGATTTTGTGAAGATTGGTATAAAATTGTGATGATACCATAAGCATCTCTGAACTATGGCTAAAAATTAGTATTGAAGACTGAACTAAGGAGAGGGAATCAAGGAAATGTTAAACTTTTTAATTACAGATGGGATACTGCAGGACAGGAGAGGTTCAAATGCATTGCTTCATCATATTACCGTGGTGCTCATGGTAGGTGTATATTTGGCAGAAATGCCACATAGCACTTCCTAATTTCATAAATTATCACACTCATTGGACCTGGAAAGTATTTTAAAACTGTTCCAGAATCTCCAGTTAATCAGGAATATGATTCTGTATCATTCATATTTTTAAAATAGCTATATGGTGACTTTGCATAAGAGGAGCATTATGAAATTGTTATAAGTGCTGATGAAAACCCACACAAGCACTCCCTATTTTAAATTTGGCATGAAACAGATTCCAGGACTGCTGTCTTTACTTTGGTTTTATGAATCGTTCACTATAATAGAGTCATAAAACAAATTAATATTTCCAGTAGTATGTTATATTCTCTAACATTTTGAAGATTTTCTTTTAATTAATTTTTTATGGTTTGCTTAATGAGATTATAGTTGGATTAGGAATGGGAAAGGATAGAAAAGAAAGCATGCATGGTCCAATTTGAGGTACTATTCTGGCATTTACCAGGTGGGACTTATGAAAATAACAAAACACTTCAGTCAGGACTGCCAGTGTCTAAGATGAGATTTGAATCCAGGATCTCCCAGATATAAAATATAAGTTACATATAAATGAATTCAAGTATAGAGAGTACTATCTTCTAGGATGTGATGCCACATTTTGGAATAAGTTTTTTTTTTTTATTTAATTTGCTTGGTGGGGGGTGGAGTGCAGCTGGATCCACTCAGCATGGCGGCCACTGACTGGCCTATTGTACCTGCTCCCGGATGATTATGATGATGGAGAATTTGATGGAATGAGGATTGGCAGGGGAAACCGAAGTATTCGGAGAAAACCCACCCCAGCACCACTTTGCCCACCACAAATCCCACTTGACCAGACCCGGGATCGAACCTGGGCTGCAGCGGTGGGAAGCCAGCCACTAACCGCTTGAGCTATGGCACCTCCTCTTGGAATAACTTCCTGCTGTGACAGTCACAGCATATGAATTCAATTGTATTTGTTTCTTTTGACATAAGGATTCCCTGGTAAGTGATGCTGAAATGAAATGAAATGCTTTCATAGCTGCTAATGTTATTCAACATACAATTCAATTCAGGCTTAGTAAATGAGGTACTTGTGCATGATGTGCTAAGAATGGCATATGCCCTTACATATGTATGTTTTGTTCATAAAGATTATGAAGGTAACACCATACTCCTCTGTTGCAGTGATAGTGATTGTGTTTGATCTCACAAGTCTCATGTCGCTCTCACACTGCCAGCAATGGTTAGAAGAAGCTCTTAATGCCAACTCTGGTTCACCACATATCTTTCTTGTTGGAACAAAGAGAGACCTAATGGTATGGAGTCAGATATGATGGCTTCTTTAGTTCTGTTTTAGATCAGAATACAATTCCTTGCCATCCACAGGTGTTACATTTCTGAAAATCACTACAGTGGTAAAACTGCTGTTGGCAAGACCATGGCTTTATGGGAAATAGATGGTTAGGAAAACATGGCTGTTGTGAACACTCAGCAAATTGTAGGTACTTACAATTTTAGTAAGAAAACCTGAAGGATATAAACTGCTAGGGAATCCTAGGCACAGTTAATCTTATATTAATAGAGTGTGAGGATTTGGATTGGATTTGATTGGCTGTTATTGCTCTGTCACCAGTAAATATGGATCTCTTTGTGCAGAAGCCATCAGCTCCTCCCATGTGTTTAAAAATTAAATACTTCAGATACCAAAGCCAGATGTCATGTTTGGCAAAGCTGGATACAAATGGAAAACTATGAGTACTTTGAATCTACGGTTGGCAAAGGATTGCTGTACTAACATGGAAAGTTTGCCTGTTTTATGTCTTTTATATGGATAATATAAATTCCAAAATATAAAATAAGGTTGCTTCTCAAATTCTACATTATGAAACTAAAGTCCTAAAAATTGGCTTCTTAAAGATTTTTATTACTTCTTGAACTTATTAAGGTCACAGTCCCCATAGCTATTTAGCTAAATAGTTCGTTTGGTGATTGTAAATTAAAATACTGAAATTCCTTAAGCCAGGTTTTTAAAAAGAAATGGGGACAGTCCTGTTCAGTTTTATTCACATGACAAAAATAAATGATTCTTAAAATATTATTCACAAACAATTGTTTTTTGCCCTAAAGGCTTGAAAAGTACCACTGATTAATGACTTTGGTATGGAAATGTGTGCAATACTTCATGATTTGAAAGAGAATGTTATCTTTTGTAATTAAGTGTCTTAAACTTCATCCTATTATAGATGTTGTTATTTAAGTTTTCTGAATAAAGATAATTTTCTGTGTCTTTATGTTCATTCTTGTGTTATTTCTCCAGAAACTGAGTTTGAGTGAAAATGACCTAATTATAGTGTAATGTACCAACATTTGTCATATTTATACATTTTATTCTATGCAGATTTAGAATAATATTAAAAATTAGTGCAAGAGATTAGCTTTGGTTAACTCTTTTCCATGCCCATTAAATGTACAATATCAAGATACCATTAGCCAAAATAATATAATTGCCTTCTTTACATTATATTTTACTGTGTTAGGGACTGTAAAGGGATAATTGAAGTTTCAATGTCATAAATCTAGTAGCTGAACTAAGAATTTCACTTATCTTGATGTATATTGATGCTCATTTAGACAAGAACAGCATTCTTGGAAGTGGAGGGCCATGCAGTGCGACTGGCAGAACATATGGGAGCTGAATTCTGGGCAGTGTCATCACGTACTGGTGATGGAGTATCAGAGCTGTTCTGCAGAATGGCTGGCTTAGCGTTTGATAGCTCTGTATGTCGAGAAAAAGAAACAGCTGGTAATACAGTGACTGTAGGCTCCAATCTAGTCAGTAAGTTGAAGCTCACACTTCATTCTGCATATTTGTTGGTTAAGTCAGGGATCCACGTTGTCACCTCATGGACAAAGAGAATACCTTAGATCTGGAAAGTGGTTATGTGTCCCAATATAGTACGGTAATCACAAAGAATTGGGCGTGTGTCTATTACTTTCATAATATTGAAATATCTGTGTATATGTAACACCATTTGGATGAATTTCTTTTATTAATTTTGGTACTAAAATTTATTTGCAAATTATTATTTTGCTTTACATTGGACAGCCTGGACTACTGTTTTACTTGAGTGCACAAATATACATTTTTAGAACTAGTTTTAAAAATGTTGAGCGAAGAAAATATTGTTTTCAAGATAGTAGTTATTAAATGCAATAATATACGAGTAAGTTAGTATGCACAAAAATCAATTTTCTGTGGTATAATGACATACTGATTAATTTATCTATTCAAAGCATCATGGGAACTTTCATGAAGTATGGGTGAACAACAAAGGGACACACATAATAAAGCAAGTACATTAATGCTGGATGTGAAAGAAATATTTTGTATGATATTTCAGATGTGCATATGTATGGTGCAATGAGCACTTATCAAACATTTTTCATTTTAGAAAACAAGGCTAAAGAGAAGAAAATAAATGTATTAGTATATTTAGCAGTAACCAGAAGTCACTGGTTTGTAAACACTTTGTAAAAATTACTGTATGTAGCATATAAAAACATATTAGTGGAAGGTTAGACTTCACTTATATTCAGTCAGCAATTTGAAATTAGCTGCAGTATTATTCAGGCCTAAAAGAAGTTGAATTTGTTACTAAACTTTTATAAAACTTATGCTTTCAGACCCATTTGAGTTAATAAGGTCTAAAAGTTTATGACTATGGTGCATTAGTGCAAATAATATGTTTTTGGACATTATCCATTGTCCTGTCTTTATCTAAAAACATTGTTCAGTTTATTGTTCAAAACAATGTTTCAGAGATTGGTTTCCATCTCTGTCTCTGGGTGAAACCTACTCAGTTGGTCCCAGTCGACAGAGCTAGTCCCTATCTCCAGACACCTATTCCAGCACCAAGATGGTGTATAAAAGCCAAACACAGCACAAACCGTCTATGAGAGCTAAGAAATTATTAAAAACGCTACATGTGTGAGGCCTTGCACCAGAGAACTGTTACAATAGAAATCATCAGTGGAGAGGAGAAATGCTCCTGATAGTACCAATGCAAGAAAAACAAATTTTCCCACTCAGTTTACACTTGACGTAGTTGTAGTTTCTTGACTTCTGTTGCGATAATGGGGCTCCAGATGGGAAAGATGTCCAGACTGGTTTGACTGATCGGATGGTCCAGCAGATGCATGGGCTGATTCACTGTATTTCCTGTATATGGTGATGGGCTCAATCTGCAAGACCTTTGCTTCATTCCAACATATTGTATGGCCTTCCTTGTATGCATGTTGGGCAAACCCTGTGTCAGGTTATATTTGTGCTCCTTAATGTATACTTCTAAAGGTCTGTTTATTTCACTGATGTAACGTCTGCCACAATCACATGGGATGGTGTACATGCACTGCTTTGTCTGCTGGACATCTCTTAACTGGTCCAGTTTACATCAGTGTCCCATGGAGTGTATGTTCCTGAGTTTGAAATGGTTCCCGATGCATTTGAATTTCTCGGAAATACCCTTAGCGTATGGGATGATGACAGTGCCCTGGTGTATTTTGTCTGAAGAAGGACAATTTCTTGTCTGTGGATTCATTACAGAGTCAAGAATTTTTTTGGATATTCACCGAGCATCAGATTCATTGTTCAAATCTTTGTGCTTTAACATATGACCTTTGCTCGGTTGACCAAACTATGAACGACTGTCCTTGTTACTGGTTTGCAGAGATAGGGACTAGCTCCATCGATTGGGCCCAACTTAGTAGGTTTTACCTGAAGGCGGAGACAGAATCTGGTCTTCATAACGTGTTTTTACATAAAGACAAGATGATGGATAAGGTCCAAAAACATAATATTGGTGCCCATTTCAGTTTTTTTTCTTCTTTTTTTAATCAGTAAATATCACTCAGAATGGTATACAGTCTGGGATCTTGTGTTTATTTTGTCAGTGTTTGTTTGTAGCACTGAAGCAGACATCAGGATCAACACCCCTCAAATCTCAACGGAAATGTAGTGGAAGCTGCAGTAATTGAGACACTGCAAAATGCAAGTTTATAGAAGCAACTGAAGAGAGACTGAAAAAATGTGACAGCTAAAGATACATCGAAGGTTTGAAACTCCTAATCCTACACTGGACTTTGATCTGACACTCTAAATATAATTTTTTCCTCCCCTTAAGCATGTTTTATATACTTAATGTTAGAAGAACTATGTGCAACTATTTGTATGGATTAGAAGTTAAAGATTCAGCTTAATTTTCTGTAAGAAGCTAATTCTGTTGTATACCAAAGTAATGGTGTTTGTTATTCATTACAGTGTAGGATTTCATTAAGTTCTTTACTCATTTAATTTATTATACATCACAGTCATCTGAAGATTACCGTGTTGTGGGTTTTGACACTGTAGTTTGGTAGATGGGTCCAGCATTGCACATCCCAGAAGACTGCAAGCTTTGTATGCTCCACCATGAGAACCCTGAAATTGTACAATCACCTCATTCATTATTTATTACTGAACACTGTGATATTTTATTAGCATCCTGTTATATGTCTCAGATGTTTCTGGTTCAAATCTCAGCTCACATGCTGACTATGCTGACTATTTTGGCATATTTTTATAGTTGTTTTGTTTCCTCCAGCCAAATACTGAGTAGGACCATCACATAAGTCACGACTGCTCTTTCGAAGAGTTTTCCATTGCATTCATAATCATTCCTGTCATTCAGATCTATTTAACCTTTGTTGTACCAGCTTTAAATCCCCCTAAGAGTTCACAGCCTGAATTAAATGACAATAATTAAAAATATGCCCCTTTTTCTAAAAATGTAAATTTCTTCAAAATTATTAATGATAAAAGTATCATAAAGCAAGCAAACTGTAGATTGTGCAGGCAAAAATTTAATTTCCACACTTTTTTATGTGTCAGAGACTTGTATGTAAACCTGCTTTAAGATAAGAAATTGAAGTAGCAGGTGTCTATCTTATCTACATCAGTGCCATATGACTGCTATGGTTGTCTCATGGCAAGGTAGTATCCATATTGTTTTGTGCTTTAGTGCAATAATCACTCAAGTATGTGATAGCCTGCAGGCCACCAATCACATTTTTCGCATCGGGTAGGGTGTATGCATATCTTTGTTGTGAATGAATCAGACACAGTTGTGCCATTACATTCCTCTGGGTGGCCAATAGTTGTTGTTAATCACTCACAGGAAGTTTATTTTCTTCAGCACTGCAGCCCCAATTTGGGACTCAGACTAAGTCCATCAAACTCTCTGTTCATGACAGCATTACCACTATAAAAGTAGGTATTTGCCATTCTGTGGCTTGGTTAACCACACACTCTACTGTAGTCCTCAGCAGTTGTAGGTTTCAAAGTATTACCATGCTCATCATAGAAAGTTTCTTCTTATGATGGATGTTTGCACACTTATATTTATGATTTATATAGTGACATTTTTGCTGAAACAGAATGTAAGGCATTGAATAGTAGAATGATTAGTGAATAATTACAGGAAAGTATGTGGAAAAAATCGGTCATGGTCTAATTTTAGATAATATCCCAGCGTGTACCTGTAAGGACTAAGGAAAACTAAAAGCAACTGCAGTCAGGATGGTCAGAGCCCCATCAAGATTTTGGTCATTCACCCCCAAAATACAAGTCAGAAATGCTATGGCCTGGTCCAGCTTGCTGTGTAGGATGCATCTGCAATTTTATCCTTTTGTTAAATGTCTGTCCAGTTTATACTGGAAGGGCTTGAGTAGCTCAGAATAGAAGTGCTGAATGGTAGGGTGGTTAGTGAACAATTTTTGGAAAGGATGTGGAAGTGGATCCACGGAATGCAGTGCAATGTAATGTAATGTAACAGTCATGGTCCAATTTGAAATACTTTCCTGACATTTTTCTGGAGAGACTGAGGAGGATTACAAACCTCACTTTCGGGATATTCGGTGTCTCATTGAGATTTGAATCAAGCACTTCTCAAGTTCAAGTTTGGAAACTTTATGGCTTGACCCAACATTCTTTGTAGGGTGCATACTAGTCAGAATATAAATGTCATTTTTTCCCCTTTGCTTATATATAAAACCTGCAACTTTCTGAATTTTATTCACTTCTACAATGAAGAAGGGGGAATTATATTTCTTCAGAGCCTGCCTAACAGACTACACAGTTACCTGGCCCCTGCCAACCATGATAAGTATGTTAGTGAAATTGTTCTAGAGTACTCCTTCAGAGATTCTTGTGAATCATGTTCCATTGCTGTGATTGGGGCCAAAAACAAACACATATCAAATACTGTAATATCAGTAGGTAAGGTCTAAGGTGTCCAAATATTAGTGATAGTACCTGATTGTCTCACCCTGTTATAGTTGCAGAACTGCTGTGAAAACAGCAAGAAAATGTTTAGTGGACTTGAGTTCACAAGCCAGATGATCTGCCAGAAAATAAGTGGACAGCCCTCATATAGTTTTTATTTGGCCTCTCCCACTTTGTCCAAAAAGTTCTAGCACAGAATACAAGTAAAGCACAAAAATTTTGGTATGAAGTCTGCATTACATAACGAAGCAACCACAGATCATTAATTAAGGCCCGAATGAACTGTGGGCATAATGAAAATCATATTTTATTTTTATACTTCATAAACCCAAATACATCTTAGATACAGAGTAGCATGTCAGTTTCATTTTCTCATTCATATCTAATTATATTGCAGCTGTCTTTTCAATCAATTCTTTATGTTATACTGCTTGCAAGCACCTTGAAAATTTTTTATCTTTCAGTGATAGCGATGTGATGATGAAATGTGAGCTATGTGCCAGCCAGGTTCAAGATAAGAACTAGCAGGTCAGAAAATGTGTTGTGACACAAACACAAATAAGGACTGCAGTGGCTGAATAGTTTTATCATGCCATTGCAGGTTACATTGGACACCAGGAAGATACATTTAGAATACCACAGTGGGTTACTTTGTGATGATAAAGGTTAGGCGTTATCATTTACAGTCATTAAATAGAATGAGGAACATCAAACACTTCCTGTATCCAAAAACAGATGCTCTCTAAGTATTTTGCATACCTGTGTTTTGTAGTGCATAGCAATATAGTAATATGTAGTACATAGTGATATTTTAGTTTATAATGCAACTGAAGGGAAGAAAATTCTATTATGTATGGAGGTTACCAGTTTTTCTTCATTATATATGCCATGATACTTATGAACAAGAGCAGGAACCTACTTCATAAACTTGTTGTGAATAATTGAATTAAGAACAATCTAATGAACATGGATCAACCATGCACATTCACGGACACCAAAGAATTTATTAATGGTAAAAATGTTTCCCCTGTCTCATACTAATAGTAATAGCAATACAGGTATTTGACTTAGCAAAATTATAAAATATAACTTTTGTTTTGAACTTTCCGACCAAATTAAACAAATCTGGATTTTTTCAGGCGCTTTTATTCTTCCTGTCCCACAGATATATAAATACATACAAAGTGTGTTGTATATCAGATTTTAGGAATACACAATATTAGTACTTTCTTTGAAACCTTTATCATCTGGGAATAGAGGATTTTATATCTCAGAGCACTATGAGGCTTGTGGCTAGATTTTGACTGTGTGGGGTGGGAGGAGGACAGTATTAGTATTGAAAAAATTCAACAGTTGTCCAGATGAACCAAATGCATGCTTTGTTAAGGGTCATTCCATGTGAAGTCATCCCAAGAGGTCGTTCACCATTTTTAAAAAAAATCATATTTTGTACACTTATTTCTAAATATTTTCACACTTCAAAAATATTTTTAAAAAAATTGTAATCCCCTCGGTTCTCCTGGTACAGCCGTTTTTATAATGTGAAAAAACACGTTTTCGGCTCAAATGGAGGTTTGCGTTATCTTCTGTATCTCGATAGCTACTGAAGCTAGAGAGACTAATGAAAAATCAGTTTGTTCCTCATGATATGGACAAAAAATCATATCATTACAAGTTTTTACTCAACTCACTTCCTTTAGGTGTAAGTAAGCTTGAAACTTAAGTATCGATTTTGGGAAGAACGCTATTTTTGACGTTCAGAAACCAGTGGGAGGGGAAAAGTATCAGATCTGTGGTTTCTACCCTTTGTTGTTACCTACATGGGGAATATAATCACGTAGGTTGAACCCCATACCTATTTTCCAAAAATTTCCAGGAGCTTCCAAACTTTGCTCTGGGCCCAAAATGGGCCATTTTTAACATCTCATATCTACGGTGTGGAGGCTCCGAAAAATTTTAAACTCATAGCAAATAATGCTCTATTCCAGAGTAACTTGGAATTAAAATTACAACTTTGATATTCAACTAATAGCGAAGTTCTTATAATGCGAAAAAACGCGTTTTTGGCTGAAATGGAGGTTTGCATTATCTCCAATAAGAAACCAATTTGTTCCTCAAGATATGGACTATAAATCATGTCATTACAAGGTTTCCCTCAACTCACTTCTTCTAGGTCTAATTAAGCTCAAAACTTACCTATCGATTTTGGGAAAAACGCTGTTTTTCACCTTCAAAAACCAATGGGAGGAGGAAAGTATAAGATTTGTGGTTTCTCCCTTTGTTGTTATCTACATGTGGAATATACTCACGTAGGTTGAACGCCGTACCTACTTTCCAGACTATTCCAGGAGTTTTCAAACTTTGCTTTGGGCCCAAAATCGGCCATTTTTACCATCTCATATATATTGTAGCGTGTTTTGAGTACGGAACTTGTCGGTCACGTGTGTAAGTTCTAATCCCACTTCTGACACCAATGTAGCGTGTGTGGTTGTCTGTCACGCTACAAATAAGTTCACGCCATGGTTTGATATAGCGAGTTTATTCTGGTCGCTCGCACTTTACACACACTTTACAGGCGTTTACACTTGCAGTGCTACAATCACTGCTCACAATATTCCGGCGAGACTGACTCCTTAGACGGATATTCCAAACTGACTTCTTAGATGGGCGATCCGAAGCTTTCTTCTTCGAAGACTATTCCGCGACTTTCTTCTTCGAAGACTATTCCGGGACTCTGTTTCTCGCAGAAGCTGGGCTTTTATAACCTTGGCAGCTGCTAGGTAACGAACCCTCTGTTATAGCGGTGGAGACGTTGCATTGTTGGTTCCGCGTTCCCTACGCAATGACCCCTTGTTATTGCGTTGTCTCTGTGGGAACGCTACGCGTATTTGTCGTAGCCGTGGAGATTCGATGTTCTCGGTACAACGGCTCACTGTTGGGATTACAGTGACGCTATTGTTACTTCCTATGTAACGGTCCATTCTAGCGTTTCCATAGAAGTTACTCCTCTGGTTTGCCGACACGTTACACTGCTCCCTTCTAAAGGTTGTTCGTCCCCGAACAGCCTAAAGGTTCTCCCTCGGTTTCGATTCGCGGTGTTCTGTTGGCAACGTCTGCATTCGGCCTTGGTGTCCTTCGCGAGTCTTGTTGCGCTGTTCATCTTACCACATCCACCCCTCTCTTCAGTTGTGCTCGTCCCGAGCACTCTCGTGGTCCACAATTTGTCGGTCGCCTTGTTTAACATTCACTTGTTTTCCATTCATTCTCGTTGGGGAGGCCGGTACTTCCAAGTTACCGGTTCCTCCCATAAGGGCCGTTTCCCTTTTTCCTTTTCGGCGGGGGTCGACCCCTCCACAGTGTCCAGTGTCTAGTTTTCGGTAACTCGCTGGAAAGTCCCACTGCTAACTTCACAAATTTTGACCCGATGGCCTTCCTGAGTGTCCGGCTGGCTGTTCTCTCGCTTTTTGGATGCAGCCGCTGTTTTGTGCATGCGTCTTTTACTCTCGTGTTGCCCTCTGGATCCTCCTTGAGCCTTCGCCATTTGGGGGCTCCCCTTGTGACGTTGTTCTAAGTTGGGTTGGTCCCCATGATGTGTCCCCTACGTCGTGCTACTTTAGTACGGAGGGACGTCCTCTTGTCCATTGGCGTTCTCTGTGCCGCTTTCTCTCGGCGTCTTTTCCCTCGGGCGACGGCCAATTCTTTACGCTGGCATCCGAAGGTTCCCTGGGGGGTTTCCTTCTTGAAGTCTTTTCTCCAACGTCGTGCCACTGTCGCGCGACGGGATATCTTCCAGGTTACTTGCTCCACAGCGTCTGCGTTTCAGCCAATATGCCTGTGTCCTGAACAGCGTGTAGTCACTATTCCGGTGGCGGCCACATCTTTCCGCTGGCATCCGAAGGTTCCCTTGGGAGCTTCCCTCTTGAAATCTTTTCTCCAACGTCGTGCCACTGTCGCGCGACGGGGTGTCCTTCTGTTTCCGGCCAATTCTTTCGGGGGCCCACGATTTTTCCCTGCCGAATCCTTCGGTTTCTGGCGGCGGCGCTCCTCGGCCAGTTTCTGGTCCCTACGCCGTTTCTTCGGTTCTCCGACCGGTATTCTCGGGGCGTCTTCTACGGGGACTTCTCGATGCTCCAGTACAGACTGCATCGCTTCTGGGTGGGGCTCAATCTTCTCGTGGGTGGTTCTCTTCTCTTCCCC